TAAACAAGCTGAACCAGAATAAATCTTTTGTTTATAGCAGCATTTTATAGAAAGCTCAATTCCTGAAGTATTGTCTGATGGTCACTTATCCCATTCTGTTGAGAGAAACAAAACAAAAAAACATCGATTATTTTGGCTATATCTCATTCCTAACAAATGGTACAGTCTCAATGGTAAAATTCTCGAATAATTTTGCATAAATGGACTTTTACTTAAGAGCAAAAGATTAAGATTTTCTTCTTGTCATTATCATGCTCGATAACAATGTGAACAAACTGCTGTAGAAATCTGACGAATTATGGTTTAAGATCGATGATCTTCTAATTTTGAGACGAAATAAAAAACAATACCAATGTCTGTCGTCAAAATTGACCATCTCAAATTATTGAACTCTATTACTAGTTGTTGGGAAAATTTTCGACTGTTTGCCAAGATCTATAGCTGTTTCAATTATCATGTACTCAACATAAAACGTTGATTTCTTGTTCTACTGTAATTAAAAATTATAATAAATTCTACCTAATTTTGCTGCTCGATGAACAAGTTGAGAAAGAAAATTAACACTTGTATCAATTTGTGCAACCATATTTGGATAATGACATGTAATTAATTGTTCTTGAATATATTGACTTAAATGATTAAAATAATTTTTAGCTTGAAAACATATTGGAGTATTTGTCATACAAATATTATTAATTCGATCTGGTAAATGAATAATAAATCCAATATCGGATTCATTTTCAAGTTCGTTTAATAATATTTGATAATTTTTTTCATATAAATCAACTAATAAAAAACTGAAATAATCATTGGATGAATTTTTTAATTCATTTAATATTAAATCAATTAATTGTTTTTGTTTTAATGAAAATGGTGTTTGAAGAATATATTTATGAAAATTAATTTTTATTTCTTTTATTTGTTCAGGTGTTTGACTAAACCATTCAGATAATTTTCTTAAACATAAACGAACTAATTTTTCTTGTTCAATTGATGTTAAACGAATACTTTTATCAAAAAAATATTCTTCAATTAAACATTGAATAGAGAAATAAGAATTTGATGACGATATTTGTTTCAATATATGATTTAATCTTTCAAATAACATTATTGTTTTCAAGTACCTGAAAGAAAAGTCAAATATCTCATTGAAAAAACCGCAAACACAAAGTTTCTTTTTTTTTTGAATAAAATAACATTTTGTTTTTTTTTTTTTTTTTTTATTAAAGAAGAATTAAATTTTTTTTATGATAGATTCGTTGTTGATATCGTTGGAATATCACTCGAATTTAGAAGAAAAGATTTTCTGCTCGATCATAGAATTCAGATGCAAATATGTCTTGTTGTTTTCAATTTCACATATCTCTTAATGGATTTTCTATATAATGCAAAGAAAATATTATTTTTTCCTTTTTAATGAAAACTTTTAACCTGCAACAACTTGTATAATATCACCAAATTCTGTTCATATTCGACCATTCATTGTTTCATTATTCTCTTGAGAATTTTTTTTTCATGTTTTATCATTATTGCACCAGTTGAGGATGTTTCATCAGTAGGAAAAATAAAATCAATTTTATTACTAAAATAATATAGGTTAATTAGAAAAGTTTTTCATAGGTTGTTTTCTTGTACTTACCTATGATAAATAGTGTTGAATCATTTTCATTATCTGTTTTTCGTCGATCAACAATACTTTGATAAATAAGACGATGACTATCTAATGTTTCTTTGTAACCACGAACAAAATATTCGATTTCACACCTTAAAAAACGATATGCTTCATTTCGTTATTATATATTTCTCATGAGTTCAATCTGCAAAAGTGGTGAAAATCTTCAATAGGCCTACGCCGCAGAGTTGGAATACCTGCATCTGGTCCTATAAACTAAATTCTCGTTTAAATGTAACTATTAATCGTAATATGAAATGTAAAATCTGTTTATTTTTTTGGCTTTATTCGTGTCAATTTTTTGGTTGTATACTGAAACTTATTTAGTATTGATAAAGCTTCACTATTTCTTTCCATATTTTAAAGTCATAGAACATTTGGATACATCATCATCATCTGACAATCTTTCACGTAATATTAAATTTGTTAAAAGATTCATTGGTTAAAATAAAATTTAGATTAAAAAAACGAAAACTAAATAAAGTTAAGAATAAATAGTTTTTTTTTCTTGTTATTTTTTTCGATAAATATTTACAATCTCCAATTGAAATTTTTCCACTTGTAATTGTTTCCAATTGATAAAGTATTATTGTTCGTGGTAGATGAATAAAACTTTTTGAAATAATAAATAAATTTAATAAAAAGGTTTACAAAAAAAGAAGATGAAATCACTGCAACACGTAGATCATTTTCTAGAGTATCATCATCAATTTCATTCATTAATTCTTCGAAATCATTAACAGATATGGTCCCATTTTACTCAATGTAAGAAAAGTTAGCAGCCGATTCGCCTGAAAACATAAGCAATCCATGAATCATACGTCAATCGATGTCAAAGTTCACGCCCTATACAATGGTATATAATTCATCCTGATAAAAGCCTCATATAATCTGCTAGGTTCTGTGAAAACCTCAAAAACACGATTTTCGAAAGTAATACTCACGATGATTCGTTCAAGTACATAAGTCACTGATGAATCTTATACCATTCAATGCAGTATTTCATACTCTATCGAATGGTGTACAACTTGCACGGCTCAAGACTAACTAGATAGCACTTTGACAAACCTTAGAAAAAAAAACCCACATTTTTGGTGGATACTTCTGATGACGATTCGGTCCAGAATATAAGCCACGACGAGTCATATATCAATCGATGTAGAATTTAAAATCCGAAGAAATCGTGTGTTTGTGGGTTCAGTAAAGATGGGCAGCCTCTGACACACCCACACCTACGATTGCTAGAACTCAGAATATGCTTTATAAAGACGGATCACATGTGAAAAGAAGGTGTACGAGGAAACGATGGTGGTAATGACAAAGCCGAAACGGTAGCCTATAAACTGATTTTTTTCGTAACTTGATCTATTCATCAGTACAATATAATAATGCTTCTTTAGCATATCACTCAGTATGATAATCATCCGTTGTGTTTGTGTTATCTGGTTGCTTCTCTTATTAGTTACGTTGAAGCTATTTCGTTTGTACATCTTCTTCATGTATGGTAAATGCTGATCTTATGAAACATAGTCTGACCAAAAGTAAGTCATGCACTCATTTTAAAAAATCATCGACGCCCAGGTAAAATAAGCTTCTTCAATTACGTTAACCTTACCTAATGAAATAAACGCTAACTACTTCTCTCACATTTTATATACGCAAACAGACCACAAACAGCTTACATAACACAAAAGAACACTCGTCCACATCGTTGACCAAACTCCATTCATAAAATATCACATACACCCCAAATTGAAAGAGATTCGGATTTCACTTCGATCCATATCATATATGCCATTGGTGACAGTTCTCAGATCGCTCTTCATAAAGTTTACCGCTTCATGTATACATTCCTTTCAATTTATAAACATACCAGGTCATAAAATATTTTTATACTCATGGACCACACGCAATTTGCTACGTTTTCAAATTCGGCATCGATTAACATATCACTCATCAGTGGCTTCTGAATGAATCATCATGACAAGTAACTAAGAGACATTCCATTTTTTCTAGCCTTGTCCAGGATTTCATGAATTAAACTGCTTTGTAATTGGCATAGCTCATGCTAGCTGTATCCCGTTCGATGGAGCGTGAAACTCTACATCGAATGATACATGATTCATGAGTGACTTCTGTATTTAGGGAAATTGTCGTGAAAAATACTTGAATCGGCTGCTAGCTTTTCTTCCATTTTTACTCATTGGATTATTTGAACCAAATCCAATAGCATGTATCATTAACAAGGGCGGCATAGCCATTGAAGTTCAGCCTCATCCAATTTTTGAACTTGACACTCATGACAATACATAGTTTTGATGCCTCTTATGCACTTTTGGTCGCTACTGTCCTTGCAGAGACAGACAGAAATCTTTTATCAGTAGAATCAGCCCTTGTATCTGTATCTAACGATGTCTGTGCTTCCGGTTACAGAGGAAACATCATTTTTCTTGATCAACTGCACGAAGACATGTTATCGATTAGTAATGACACAAACTCGTTTGAATAGTGCATTGCTGAGCTATATTTACAAGGAGAAGATGGATTCTATTGACTTGAACAGTATTTGTTCTACATTTGCTTCCAGTAATGAACAAAGAAAACTGTTCTTTGGTACTTTTTAATCATATCTATTTTTTATCCGTTTGTTCTGTTGATTTAGTGAAATTAATAAAAGAGCTTTGCTTGATACTCCAGTGAAAGTTTGATCGTCGAAGTTCAAACGAATAAGAAGAAGAAAACACTATGAGCCTCACCTAGATTCAAGACGCTCCGTCGTCCACGATCAATAATTCTTGATTATGTGATATAATTAAATGTCAAAAAAAGTCTATTGGTAGTTGCTATTGTAGATGATGATGGTAATAAATCAATATCAGATGTATTAAAACTATTTTCATCGCCATATTCATTTGTATTTATTGTACATTCATTTAACAAATTAATCAAGTTCAAGTAAAAGATATTTATCACTAAGTAAAAAGTTTGTTAAACATACTGATTCACGACTATTTACATCTAATGAGGAAAAACGATAAGCTGAATATGTATCATAATAACCTAAATACAAAAATAAATTCTTGTTGTGAAAGTTCATTTTCAGACATAAAATAATACCCGTACTATTCTCATTTGAAAATTCAGATTACTATGTATCGTTAATTTGTACATTCACAAGAAAAATATAAAATATTTCGAATTCTATTAGTAGACAGATTGAGTATTTTTTTATTTTATGAAATCGAGAATTCTAATGTCGATTCCTCGACGTCTATCATTCGGGATACTATTTTGAAAGACTAACAATTAGTACAGATTATCATAATTCTCGCATGATCATCATATCTGTAGAAATTTAAATTTTCAATTTATTTCTTAAATTTTCGTTCGATCTGAAATAATAGAATATAATTTGTTCTTATTAATACTGATGTTAGAAAACTAATCTGCTAACTGAATTTTAGATTATTTTCTAATCGAGAAAAGTTGAATGTATTTGAAACTCGAAAATTTTACTTTCTGGATCATAACAAAAGCACTTCATTGAAGAACAATTGTTTCCATATCATCTTTAATTTGACTTCAATATTTTAATGATGTTCGTTCACGTAAACTGTGATAAACTTTCGTTGAATGAACAATATCAACATGACAATTTAAACTTGAACATTAATCAACATCTTCCTAAAATAATTATTTTTGATTTTTGATTTTATACTCAATCTATTTAGTTTTACTTTCATCGGTATACTAGTTACAGTTGTAAGTCCTAAATTATGTTGTTTTAATAAGATTTGACCAACTTGAGCATAATAAAATGTACGATCAAGAATAGAAGTTATCTGTTTAGATATATTATCTTAATTATTTATAAAATATAAAAAAAGAAAAATATTATCTATTTACTGAACGAATTTTCGGGTTTATTGTTGGCACTGGCTGATCAACTGATCGAACATCAACTAATGTTAAATCACATTTTGTCAATGGAACAAAACTAAATAAGATTTTACAATCTCTAATTAAATGATACTTTTAAGACTTCACTAGATAATACATTAACTACTATGTCACAATTCAATATCCTTAAAAGCAGAGGTTTTATCATAGAAGGAATCAATTGTAGATTCTAATTTGCAATCAAATATCTCAAAAACAATGACAGTTGGATATATTTCCTCATAAAACAAAAAAAGACTTGTCTCAATCTGAACTAAACGTTACAATTAAGTTCTACTTGTTGACTAAATTTTAACCAAAGAAAGAGTTTTGTTTTTTGAATGTAATAGGAATAAATTCTCGGATATTTTTTTCTAAACTGGAATTGTATGTACGCAAATAGGACAAATTTGGATAATCTTGACACTCCGAGCATGTAATACATGAAAAAAGAATCATAAATCAGTCTTTCGTGAACTTCTTATTATTTTACGATTTCAAATAAAAAAAAAATCTATTTATTTACTCGCTAGAAATCAACGATAAACTTAAAAAAAAACAAAAATCGAAATTAATTACCTAGTAAAAGTCGAAAAAAGAATAATAGGTCCACTATTAGTATAATTTGAAACACTTGGAATATTTTATTTGTTTGAACGTGTACATAAAGCTGTTATTGCTTCATTAAGTGAATGCTTTAAAAGATCATATCATTGATTGATGAATGTTCATTTGCTGATGAAATATCGACAAAGAAATCCATACACTATAGTATTAGTTTTTTGTTTTTATTATTAAAAATAAAAAAAAAATAATCATTTTACTTGTAAAAGATTTTTATTTCGATTCCATCAATGATGATTGATCAATGCCTTTGACTATAAGTGTTATCTAATTTATTAAAGAAGAAATCAAATGAAATTTTTACAAAAAATAAGCTATGAGAAATCTTACAAGTGCATTCCCTTCGAATATATCTCTGTAATTCTATTCTATTTTCTCATTGGACATAGAAATAAACCATTCGAAATTCATTATTATTTTGTCATCAAATATAATGAATTAAATTGATTGTAGCGCCAGAAGAATTGTTTTAACCTTCATTTTTTTATTTTTCATGTAACTACTTGTAGAAACCCAACCTTCATCTATGTGACGATTACCTTGAATTTCAAACTCATTAAAATAATTTAAGAAAATTGGATAATTTACTTATAAATAAACTTTCTAGAACTACTTTTCATTCTCAAGGATGAGATGATGGGTTGGGTGATCAAGTAATATCGTATGTTTAATATTTATCTGAGTCTCTGTAATTTCGCCAATTGTAATTATTGAAGGTACGATTTAAGTTTAGTTTTGTGAGGGTGTGAATGTGTGGTGGGTGCGGGTGTTTGCGCTGAGGTACATCTCGTCCTTCAGCTGACCCACATCCTCGAGTTTCATCTAAGCATTCAAAAGCTGTGAATATTTTACATAATGATAGGTTGGCTGGCTCATAAGCTTCTTCTCTTCTTGAGTTATAGAACTCGCAGTGAGAAGAACTGTCATACATTATAACTCCTTTTCAATGGAAGCAATCAAGGCCAGCCTAGTCTCACTGACCTACATTCCTAAGGTAGTATATATGCTACGAATGTCAAACGTCTAGCCTTAAGAACGGCAGAGATCACAGGAGGATACTTTCGGTCAATAGTGCTGGTTCAAAACAGTATCTATTTGATAGTTTCCTTATGAATAAAAACTTTGAATCTAGTCCTCTATCATCGCAAAAGAAAATCAGTCCGATTGATTATAGTAGAGTGGAGATATTGAAATTTTTTATCGTAAAGCTATTTATGGATTACCATGTACATGGGACTCATTGATGAAATCGACATTTCTAAATTATTATTGTCTTCAGAGACAATATATTTTTGAATGAATTTTATCAAACGAATGAAGAATAGGAACTATTATATGAGCTAATCAATACACGCATCAGCATTATAAACTATTTAAATATCGTTGATAAATGCAAGGCCTCGACGATCAATATTGTTTGACTGGTGTGATGTTACCAAGACAAATTAAAACGTAGAGATTTTTAAACACGTATCATTCTTTACGGTTACTCATGATAGAATCATAGAAGCGTAATTTTGTGCTTATAAAATTACAATTGTCTGATATTCATCGTAGAATGTTTTGGTCTGTCATAGGCATTCTTTTGCACTGATGGCAGAATATCTTTCAGAAGAAATTATATTGCTTCAGTTACAATCAATAGGCTCTTTCATTTTCTTCTTCTTAGAAACATCAATAGAAAAAGAAACAAAAAAGTCGTAAGAATAACTTTTATCAATCAATAATTGATTCTTAATTAATAGTATCAAAATATTTACCATGGAAAAAGATGAATGTTCATTAGGTTATCACATTCTTCTGGAATATATATATATACATTTGTAAATGATATACTTGAATAGAATACAATATTACCAGAAACATGATTTATGGTTATTGAATGATTGTGATTTAACATTGGAAGTTATTTTATTTTAGGAAAAAAATTAATTTCATAAGGCAACTTATCTTTATTGTGTATTACATATATTTATTACATTGATTTGTTATTGTTGAAGTAGTTTTTGTTCAAAGAATAATCTGAAGATTGATCACATATTTTGTTTAATATATTCTTCGTAAAATTTGGAAAGGTTATCAAGAATATTTAAATGATCTAAGCCAATTAATGGAATATTAGGAAAAAAAACTAAGCTATTTTAATTTTAGTTAATTGTAAAACATCAATTGTTTGTACACTTTTCAATAAACGTTTAGAATATATTATCATCTTCACTATTAATTCAATATGGTTTAGTTTGTCAAGAAAAAAACAAGTTCGTTTCATATTTAATACATATAAATTTCCATTTGCCTTGATTGTTTATTTATTCTATGTAAAAATCCTAAAACCACTGAATATATACGAATGTGGATATGCTTCTTCTGTTCAGTCAAATCCGCACCCATCTTTCGTCGTAGTGCAGTAATTATATAGTTTTTTCATTGGTTACATTATTCTGCTTTTATTTTCTTAATTGATCTTGATATTCTTTCTGAATCTAATAAAATGTCTCATTGGTACCGTCTGTATTTCCAATTATGACCATAAACACATCAGCGGGTGTGAACAAAGAGAGAAATAAAATAAGATAGGAACTTCAATTATTAGTATGCATGGAAAAAGTTTGATACAAAATCATCATGTCTTCTGTACTGTACGTAGCGCACATAATTCTTGACATAGACATATCTAATCGATTCAAATGAGTTCGTCTCTGATTTAGAAGTGTTTTAGATTGATCTCCAGACATCATCAGTCAAAATATCACTGATATCATCGAAATAAATAGTGAGATCTTTGAGTTCCTAGAGATAGAACATGATGAAGATGACATCAGTGCTTAGCATGATCTAATTACTTTGATTTCTCGTAAAACATCAGTTAGACGTTCAGTAACATTGATTTCTATTTCATGTTGAATAGTGTTGGACTCAGTAATTACCTATGAGAAGACAATGATCACATAAAAAAAAAAAACAAGTATTAAAGATGAGTTACATTATTTTGTTTTGAAGCGTCAGCTAAATGATTTGCGTCAGTGCGCTTCAGACCTTTTCGAAATAAAGCTAGTGTCGCGAGTGTCTGTAGAAACAGAAGATGAGTATGAAATCAAATACAAAATTCTGAATCACTTTGTTTTTTTGTAGCGCGTCAATCAGAGACTGTTCTCCATGGTCGCCGAGCTCATCTTTAAACAAACCTAATTTAATGAGTGTCTATGAAAAGTAGAATATTAGAATGAAAAAGGAACCCAGTCTATGCAGTACTTGGTTTTGTGTCAACGCCACGGCTAAATGATTTGCTCCATTTTCTTTCATATCAATATTGAAGAGACCCAATGTAGTGAGTGCCTACAACAAGATTCCAAAAAACAAGTGAATAAAATAATACGATGTTTAATACTACTTTGTTCTGTGACAACGCATCAGCGAGACTTTTTACACCATTGTCTCCGATTGGATTTCTGTATATTACTAGTGTTGTGAGTGCCTAAGAGAAGAGAAGAGAAGTACAAATGAGATTATTCACAATTATAAGTTACGTTATTCGTTTGTAATGCATTAGCCAGATGCTGAATTCCATTCTCTTCGATATCATTTCTACCGAGACCTAATGTAGTGAGTGTCTACAAAAGCAACAACATGTATATATATACAACAAATTTATGTGATAAATCACTGTGTTATATTTTAATGCACTAGCCAGATATTCTATTCCAGTGTCTTTTATTTTATTTCTGAACAAACCTAATGTGGTAAGTGTCTATACGGATAAAATAATCATAAGATGAAAGAAGCCAAATGGTACATCACTTTATTTTCTCGTAATGCATCTGCCAGATGATTGGCACCTTCATCTTCAATCTTATTGTCGAAGAGACCTAGTGTAATCAGTATCTGTGAGAAAAAAAAACATAAATATGAAGGTGCCTAAGTAATTCCTCTATTACATTATTCTGCCGCAATCCATTGGCCAAATGTAGTGCTCCGTCATTTCCAATGTTATTCTCAAAAAGGTATAATGCTGTGAGTACCTATGAAAAAAAAAGATATCAGTCTGAGAGAAGAGAATTAAGACTACGATTCACTTTGTTGTGTCGTAAAATATCGGCTAGATGTTCTGCACCATGAACTGTAATATTATTATCATAGAGACCTAGACTAGTCAGTGTCTAAAAGAGAAGTAATATCAGTAGAAGAAAAAGAATCTGAGTTGTTTTTTTAACACACGTTGTTTTCTTGTAACGCATCGGCTAAGTGTTTTATTCCATCATTCTCAATTTGATTTCTAAAGATGCCTAATTTTGTGAGGGTCTACAAAAGAAAAATAAAAGTAAGACAGAGCAATAGACAATTATGATTACTTGATTCTTTTTTAACGCGTCGGCTAGATGTTTTGCACCATCTATTTCGATTCCATTTTTATAAAGATACAATGTAGTAAGTGTCTATGAAATGAGAGTGACAGATAAAAGACAGAAAACAAAACTAGTCAATCGATTACATTGTTCTGTTGTAGAGCATCAGCTATATGTTGGATCCCATCATTTTCGATTTCATTGCTGAAGAGACCTAATTTGGTTAACGTCTAAAAAAAAAAGCAACACAGGCTTATTAATGCAAAAATATATTCAGGGTTACGTTGTTGTGTCGTAATAAGTTAGCTAGATACTTAGCTCCATTCACTTCAATGTCATTTTTGAAGAGCATCAATGTAGTTAATGTCTTTGAAGAAAGAAAAAAAATACTGAATAAGATGAAACAATAGTTTCAGTTACTCTGTTTCGTCGCAATGCATTTGCCAAAACTAATGCTCCTATATCACCAATGCTGTTGTCGAATAAACATAGTGTGGTTAGTGTCTATTTATTAGAAACAGAATCGTGTGGAAACAAGTGAAGATTGCTAAATCATTACTTTGTTTTGTCTTAACGCATCAGCAATATGTTCGGCTCCCTCGCTATTGATTTCGTTATCACATAGAATGAGTTTTTGAAGCGTCTTTGAAACCAATATGAGTGTATGACAGTTAAAAAAATGGGATAAACTACCTTGTTATGTTTTAATGCCTCAGCCAGATGATATGCTCCGTCGCTGCCGATTTCATTTTCAGCAAGACTTAATGTAGTAAGAGTCTATAAAAATCACAGTATCGATATGAAACACACTGAGCTAATGAATAAATTACTTTGTTTTCACATAATGCATCAGCTAAATGTTTGATGCCATTAGATTCGATTTCATTAGCAACAAGGTTTAGTGTTGTGAGTGTCTTTGCATAGAAGAATATGACTATCAATGGTACACATATTATCATTTGATTACGGTGCTGCATTTCAATGCATCTGCCAGACTTTTGAATGAATCATCTGCAATTTCGCTTTCGACGATTTTCAGTTTGGTAAAAGTCTATGCATAACAGTAAATGTTTAAAAGAGAGATTTGGAAGGCGATAAATCTTTTATTTTTTTTTGTAGAATATTTGCTACTTCTATTTATAGTAGAAGATATTAAGTTTCGAGCTTAATTCAGACAACTGTCTAGAAAACAAGTAGATTTTTACTTGATTTATATGATTGATCTCATAATCTCTGTCTACTATTGTTAGAGTATAATTTCGATGTTTTTTCTGAAAGAGACAGAATTATTTTAAAATTTGTTTTATTACAGCATGGTGGAACCATCCCACAGAAGAAATTGAACTGTTTTCTGAATACTACAATTATACTTTACACATATATTAAAAGTTAGCGATTATGACATATTTTGTGAATGAAATGTTTTGGATTACAAGTTCTACTTATCTAAATTCATGGATTCGAAATCGATTAGCTAACATGTGACTTCAAATTGAATTATCTTTATTTTAAAAATGTAATTTTTGATGTCATAATGCAGACGATATTTTAAAAACTTGCTTTCTCGTATTAACAAAATGAAATATTACAAGTATGCTAATCGCATAGCATAGTAGAGAGCAAAAGAAAATCGATATATTGATGTTACTGTAGCGTCACTTCACCTGATTTGGTTTTTTGTGTTTATCATAAACGCAAGGTAACGATACGGACATGCTCACATCAAACATGAAGTTTAGGACATTTTGGAATGTTCGGAGAAGTTTCTGTAAAATACAATAATCTAAAAGTACGCTTCTTCATCTATCTTAAGAAAACCTACAAGATGCATCAGCTTTGTAAATTGTTCATTAACGATAATAACCTCTCTTTCTTACCATCAAGAACGAAATCCGCAGATTATTACATTGAATTAGTGACTATCGAATTTTGTTTTTCACTACAATTAATGCCTCATTCCATACTATAGCTTTTTATTCAATACTTAATGCGTTATGATTTGAATAATGTTGGCTAAGATTGATAAAAATAATCTGAATGTGATCTAGTATTTCATTTCGCACGTATAGAAGGATCTCGACAGGGGACAGTATAAGTCTTGAAAATCTCACTTTTGAATTCATAATAACCTCCGTATTTGAATTCTAATTTGACAAGAATTTTTTTTATAAGCAGATGCCTCAACTGATAACACACACAAATGATAAAATTTATAAAAATTTCAAAATTAACCCTACAAAAAAAAAAAAGGAATCAAAATGATCTCACTTTATTATTTCGTATCGCATCGATGATAATCTTCATGTTTTCCTCACTGATAGTTTCATAGCCGAAAAAAAGATTGGAATTTGTTTGAAAAGCATCAGTGTGGTTTTGAACTTCTAGATTCTGATCCGTGACAGATTCAACAAAACGTCCACAGTCAAGAATGTTTTGTTCA